TTTTCCGTCTTGGCAGGGAGGTACAGGAAAACCGGTAGAGCAAAACGATAAACAAAACGAAGACAAAACGAAAAACAACGTTTAGGTCCAGCCTTGGTGTGCAACAGTGCGTCCTATGGGGGAGCCAAAAGCTGGCGCCAAGAGCAGCCAAGATCTGCTCCATGGGGGGGCGGAGGGGGTGCGCGGGCCCGCGCCGATCGGCAAGGCAATGAGAAAACGAGCACGTGCCAGGCCCTTCCCTCGGGTGTTGCTAGAAGTGCCCCTGGCCCAAGGTATCCCCAGGATTCTCGGGGTGGCCCAGACGGCCTCCAGGTCACCCTCACGAAACCCAGAGGGCCCCAGGGGCTCCAAAATGGAGCGACAAGTTGGGGGCACCTTGGACCAGGGGCACTTCTAGCAACAACCGATTCCCTGGCATCCTCGCATCGTGGGTGCTTGGCCGGTTGCGGCTTCCAGGGGCCCTCACCAGGCCCAAGTCCGTCAAATTCTGGATAACAGCCAGTCCCGCCTTTGGAAAGGGGCCAGAGACCGTACGTACGCCGCAGTTCCGGGAAAGATCTGCATGAGGAGGAGGAGAAGGAGGAGCAGGAGGAGGAGGAGGAGGAGAAGGAGGAGGAGGAGGAGGGGAGGAGGAGGAGGAGGAGGAGGAGGAGGCGGAGGAGAAGGAGGAGGAGGAGGAGGAGGACCAGTGGAAACCCAAGAGTCATCAACGATGTTGGAATTAACCCTCCCTCCAAGCTCCCTCTTCATAGGCCCCAACGACGGTTAATTTCCATTGAGGGAACTGCCTCGCTGGAAGACCACAGTTTGAAGATCCTGAAGCGTGCCAAAACAATGTTCTCGGGACTTCAACACAGCGAGTCAACAGAACTGTTGCGACCCCATAATCCTGAATCTCTCCTAAACACCGTTTCTGGTGCGTTGATCATGGGAATCCGTGAGATTCTTGTCAATTTGAAAAACGAATGCGCGCGGCGCTAAAGCAAGAGCCACATCTTGAAAACCACCCGCCCTCAGTCCGTGAAACTTTCTCAAAAGTTTAAAACGAATGTGCGCAGCGCTAAGGCGAGAGCCACATGTTGAAAACCACCCGCCCTCGATCCGTGAAATTCTTGCAAATGTTCAAAACGAGTGTGCGCGGCGCTAAGGCTAGAGCCACCTTTTGAAAAGGAAGCGCTTTCAATCCGTGAACTTCTTGCAACTCTTTAAAACGAATGTGCGCGGCGCTACGGCGAGAGCCACATTCTGAAAACGACCCGCTCTTAATCCGTGAAACTCTTTCAATTTTCTGCAGCGAATGCGCGCGGCGCTAAGGCGAGAGCCACATGTTGAAAACGACCCACCTCAATCCGCGAATTTCTTGCAATTCTTTAAAACGAATGTGAGCGGCGGTAGGCCGAGAGCAACATTTTGAAGACGACCCGCTCTTAATCCGTGAAACTCTTTCAATTTTCTGCAGCGAATGTGCGCAGCACTAAGGCGAGAGCCACATGTTGAAAACCACCCGCCCTCAATCCGTGAAACTCTTTGCACATGTTTAAAACGAATGTGCGCGGCGCTAAGGCGAGAGCCACATTTCAAAAAACATCCGCCCTACATTTGTGAAACTGGTGTCACCTTTAACCTCCAGAGTCATAAATGGTGAGGAAGTCTCAGGCGAAACGCCCGGCCCGCCCTAAAAACTTGCCTCGGGGTGCGACAAAGAGGAGTCATCTATAAGGAGAAGGAATGGAGGAGGAAGAGGAGGAGGAGGAGGAGAAGGAGGAGGAGAACGAGGGGTACGACAGCTAGTGCATGCAGCTGGTTTTGGCCCCGTCGCCCAGGCACTCTCCTCGATGCACGGTCGCCTCTGGCGCAGGGTGGCGTTGGGAGAACCGGCTGCAGTCGATGCTTCGCCAATCCCTCCTTCGTTATCCCCCCCTTTCGTCCGACCGTAGATTGGCCGCTCAGGGTCAAGTTCGGTCCGATCGGTCCGATGCGGTATCGATTCCTGCCAGCTCGGTCACTTTTCGATTCCGAATTATATAAGAGCTCCGATGCAGCCCGATGCTTGCATGGGCGCTGTTGCGTATCAGACGATCCGATTCGATCTCGACTCCGTGCTGGTGCGGCCCGATCCAACGCATGTTCCGTCTCGAGTCGAGTTCCCGAGTCGATACCGATTGATCTTGCGTTTTTGTCAGACCCGAGAATAGAAGGAGGAGGGGGAGGAGGAGGAGGAGAAGGAGGAGGAGGAAGAAGAAGAAGAAGAAGAGGTAGAGGAGGAAGGGAAGGGGGAAGGGAAGGGGGAGGGAGAAGGGAAGGGGGAGGGGGAGGGGGTGGAAGGAGGAGGAGGAGAGGAGGAGGAGGAGAAGGAGGAGGAGCAGGACGACGACGACAAGCAGGGACAGTGGGGAGGGAGGGGGGAAGGAGAAGGATGTTGGGGCGGGGCGTCCGACCACGGCGCCATGATTGTTGTCTCGAGACAAACTGACTCTGGACTTGATTGCTGCTGGGCTGGCGGACAAGGGGTGAATGTTTGATTCCGCGGAAACGCCGACCTGTTCAGCGGCAATCGGAGGCTCTTCGGGCCTCCCCCTCTGCTTGAGCCAAAATGGCTTGAGCCAAAATGGCTAATGTCCCACCTCCTCCTCCTCCTCCTCCTCCTCCTCCTCCTCCTCCTCCTCCTCCTCCTCCTGCTCCCCTCGCCCTACGACGGTGGCCGGCGCCGCCGCCAGGCGAGGGGCTCCGGGGCGTCGGCCGCCTCGCCGCCCCCGGGCGCGCCGGCGGCCGAGGCGGCGGCCTTGCCAGCGCGGCGCGGCTCCGCGGACCGCCCCCTCCCTCCTCCCTCCTCCCTCCTCCCTCCTCCCTCCTCCTCCTCCCTCCTCCCTCTTCCCTCCTCCCTCCTCCCTCCTCCCTCCTCCCTCCTTGCCAGCGCGGCGCGGCCTTGCCCCCCCGGCAGCGTCTTCGTCGTCGTCGCCTTCGTCTTCGCAGTCGTCGTCGTGGCCCTCGTCGTCGTCGTCGTCGTAGTCGCGGTCCTCGTCTCGCTATCGTCGTCCTCGCTGTCGTCGTCGTCGTCGTGTTCGTCGCCGTGATCGTCGTCGTCGTCGTCCGCGTCGTCGTCGTCGTCCCCGTCAGTGTCGTCGGCTTGGTCCTCGTCGTCGCCGATCTAGGGTCGAGCTTCTTGTCTTGGGGGGGCTTCGCCTTCGAGGGCGGGCGGCGACGGCGAGGACAGCGCGGCCAGTGACAACGAGGGTGGCGGACGGAGGACGCCGGCGAGGACGGAGGCCGAGGATGAGGACCCAAGACAGAGGGCGGGGGGGGGGGGGCGAGGGCGCAGAGCAGAAGGAGGAGATGAGTCGGCGGCGAGCGAGGGGGGAAGTGAGGAGGAGAGGGCCTTCTCGGAAGGCGGCGGGACTTCTCAGGAGCCCTCGCGCCTTCATCAGAAGTCTTCTCGTGCCTTCGGGGCAGGCGCAGAGCTAACTCGGAAGGCCGGGGTGCCTCCGAGCCTTGCGAGAAGGCCCGCCCCTGCTCACTTCCCCCCCCCCCCCAGTGCGCGCCGCCGATGGAGAGGTCGACGGGAAGGGGCAAACCAGCAGGCATCCCTTCTGAGACCCAGCGACATCCCTCAGCACCGCCCCAGCGACACCCCTTTTCCCCGTCCCCCTCAGCAGCATCCAGGAGGGGCAGAAGACGCAGACACGAAGAATCGGCGACTTCCAGGAACAGAGGGGAAAATATTGGAAGTGCGGGGAAGACGAAAGTCCGAAAAAACAGAAACGAGGAAGAAAGTGTCTTGTATATTAAAAAATGTTTTCAAAACAAAAAATAAGAAGATTGAAAAATGGGAATCCTGGGATTCGTGTCTACTTTTTGTGTGTCCCTGTCCCCCTCAACAACGTCCCACATGCTTCCGGTCCCCCACCACACCCACCCACCCAACGACATCCCTCCTCTCCGCATCGGGCCTCCACGGCGTCCCGCTTCCAGGTCTCGCGGCCTGCGGCCCCCACTCGCAGGCTTGTGGCCGGCGGGCCGCCCTGAGGGCCAAGACCAGCAGCAGCCAGATGCGCCTTGCAACACTCCTGCAGCACAGCAGAAGGTCCGCCGATCTCGATTGTTGCTTGGCCTCTGGAGGGCATGTACGCTTTCTGGTGGGCCACCGTGGTCTTTGGGGCGATCCACCGATTACGGCCGCAGGTGGTCTCCCAGGACCTCTGGCGTGCTGATCTGTTCAAAGCGTGGGGTTCCAGAGCTCTCGCCCCCATCTTCCGCATGGACTCGGCGCCGCGGGCTGTCTTTCATTGTCTTCGGGGGCGGGAAACTGGCCTCGAGGAGCGAGGACTTCGACAAGTCAGCCTTCCTGATCTTGCCGGGACACGGGAGGTCTGGGCCCCCAGGCATCCGGCGTGTTTTGTTTCATGGGTCCCCACAGTTTACTTGATCCCGTCCTTGGGGCCGATGCTGTCGTCGCAAATCATGTTTAACGGATCCTGGGAGGTCTGGGCCAGCCAGTCTCCCTTGGCTCAGAACCAGTCCGCAGACCCATCCTTGGCCCAATCCTGAGTTCGAGCCGCGTCCAGCTGTGGCCGTGAGCCCCCAGGCAGGCAACAATGAGCAGCATGGTTCCCTCGCCCCGTCCTGGGCCAAAATCTGCTCAAGACTTGTCCTGGATGGTGCCTCCTGGCCACTTGTCCGAGCTGCTGATCAACCAGGGCGACGAGATTTTCCAGAAATGCCCCCAAAACGTCGAAAACAACGACGCCAACGACTATGTTGCCTCCCGACCACGACCACGACCGACGGACGAGGACAACTGGGGACGAGGACAAAGAACGACGACTTTGCCTCATGACGATGACCACGACCACGACAGCCACTGACGAAGGCGACGACGCCGACGACGCCGCCGACGACGCCGACGCCGACGCCGACGCCGACGCCGACGACGACGACGACGCTGCCGACGACGACGACGACGCCGACGACGTCGCCGACGACGACGACGCCGACGCTGCCCCGAGGAACCGCCGGCGTCGCAGCGGGCAGCGGCTGCCGCGGGCGCCAGGGCGGCGGTGCCCGCGGTGGGCTTCGTGTCCGGCGAGGCCGGCTTGGCGGCGGCGTTGTCCCTGCAGGCGGGAGGGCCAGCGGCGAATATCAGTATCGTTTATCCGATACCCATCCCCATCCCCATCCCCTTCGAGACCCCCGCCAAATTACCCCCCCAGTTGGGAATACACCCCTCGAATCCCGAAAGGAACGGCCCATATCCCCATCTAGGCGGGTAGATCAGCCAGTGGGGCCCAGGCCACGCCGCTGGGGATGGGGATCGGTTAAAGGATACTCAGAGGAGGAGGTCACATCAAGCGTTCTTTGTGGCGACTGTTCGAGGATGGGAGGGCCGTCATGAGGATGAGGGTGAGGATTCGGATGATGATGTTGAAGATGGTGATGATGATGATGATGATGATGATGATGATGATGATGATGATGATGATGATGATGATGATGATGACGATGACGATGATCATGATCATGATCATGATCATGATCATGATCATGATCATGATCATGATCATGATGAGGATGAGGATGAGGATGAGGATGAGGATGATGATGATGATGATGATGATGATGATGATGATGATGATGATGATGACGATGATGATGATGATGATGATGGTGGTGGTGGTGGTGGTGGTGATGACGAGTATGGTGATGCTGGTGGTGATGGTATTGGTGATGGTGATGGTGATGGTGATAGTGATGGTGATGGTGATGGTGATGACGACGATGACGATGACGACAATGTCGATGACGATGACGACGACGATAACGATGACGATGCCGATGATGATGACGATGAGGACGAGGATGAGGAAGAGGATGAGGATTGAGCATGAGCATGAGGATGATGATGATACTAATGCTGATGATTGTGATGGTGGTGGCGGTAGTGGTGATGGCGATGGCGATGTTGGTGATGATGAGATGATGTTGATGATGATGATGACGATGATGATGATCAGTCTCAGTATCATGTTGATGATGGTGATTACGATGACGATGATGATGATGATGACGATAATGGTGATGATGAAGGTGATAGTGATGGTGATGTTGATGGTAATGATGATGATGATGATGATGATGATGATGATGATGATGATGATGATGATGATGATGATGATGATGATGATGATGATGGTCAGTATGCTGATGACGATGTCGACGACGACGGTTATGATGATTCGATGGTGATTATGAGGAGGAGGAGAAGGAAGACGATGATGAGGATGAGGATGACGACCAGTGCAGACCCAAGGGTCATCAACGATTCTGCAATATACCCTCCCTCCAAGCTTCCTATTCGTAGGTCCATACAAGGGTTTATTTGTACTGAAGGCAGTTCCACGTTGGAAGACAGACGTCTGAAAATCCTGAACCTCAGTCCAGCATCGAAATCGATGCTGAAGGAGGTATCGGGACGAGCAGGAATAGGAAGGATGATCAATGGAGTCAGATCGAGCGAGTCAGAGGGGCCCGCCCATGTCCCCCTCCCTCCCATAACCTTTGAAAACAGTTCTGGCACAACTTGACACTGGGATTGGAAAGTGTTCCCACCTAGCGAGCGGAAGGCGCTTGTGCGCGCCCCATCTCCCGACGACATTGCGACAGGAAAACTACGCGGGCCGCGCAGGGGCGGAAGCGGCAAGACGTCCGATGAGCGCGGCGAAGACGAAGCATGCGCCGCGCCGACACAGCACGACCACAGTTGCTCACAGCGTGCGCGGCGGGAGCGCCACTTTCGAGCGAAACGCGAACGGAGCTCGGGCCAGGCGAAAACTTACCCGCTCGCGCGGGCCCACAACACTTGGCGAGCGACAAGCGTGCGCCACGCCCGGGCGGGAGCGCCACTGTCAGGCGAAGTGGCGCGTCGCCGAGGCGAGAGCGACAGTTTCGGCCCGCTCGCGCGTCGACGAAGCTGCGAGCGAAAGCTGTGCGCCGCACCCAAGCGGGAGCTCAACGATTTAGAAAATGAGCACGGCGCCGAGGCAAGAGCGGCATGTCGGCCTCCCGCGCGGGATGCGCGCCCCGTCCCACTCTTGCCGAGCATGGTGCAGCGTGGACGGCGTGATGTCCATGCTGAACGCGGAAATGGCGATTTCCGCGTTGGAAACCGCATGTAGATATGGGTAGATATGCAGATCAACACCACAAGATTGGAGGTCCGGGATCGTCCGGCGATCGACTGGCCAAGTGGTAGAGTAGTATGCGCCACTAAGAATAAGGACAGGCGTGGAAGAGGGAGGACGCGGAGCAAAGGAGGAGAAAAAGGATTATATCTTCAATGCGGTCACAGGACGCTTTTGGGGATCGACCCTCCTCATCATTATCATGCTATCTGGGGAGGAGGAGGAGGAGGAGGAGGAGGAGGACCAGAGCAAACCCAAGATACATCACCGGTGTTGCAATTCACCCTCCCGTCTCAGGTCCCTTCCGACCAAGACTCTACATGCATTATTGTTCATTACAGAAAGTGTCCCTTTGAAAGAACAGCACCAGTTGAACATGTCATTCGGGCGAGGGCTCCGTTTTGAAAAGAAATTGCCTTGCATCTTTTTTGCGCGCTATCAGGAGTTCGAAAAATGTATGATCATACAACTCAACGAGGTGCCCGGCGAGATCTCCACAGTGGAAAAATACCCTCACCATGTGTCATTAGTGTACAAGATTGTATTTCGGACCATGAACTGAAAGGGAACTCTCAGGCGAGAGCCCATCTTGAAAAGAAACCACCCTCCATCCGTGCAGCTGCTACATCTGGTCAAGCTTACAGCCTTTCAGTTCGAGGAAGCCTCAAGCGCGAGCCCCATTTTGACAACGAAGCGCCCTTACTTGTTGCAACTGCTGCAAATGTGACGCTGAATGTGCATGGGGATAATGAGAGAGGCCAGTTCTAGAACGGAGTTGCCCTTCATCCTTGCGTTTGTGTATTTACTGCAAACTTGTACAGCGAATGCGTGCTGCTCGAAGGTGACAGCCCAGTTGTGAAATCCCCCCTCCTGCATCCTTGCAATTCTTGCAAGCTTGCATACCGAGTGCGCGCGGCGCTACGGCGACAGCCCCATTGTGAAAAGAGTAACCCTACATCCTTGAATATGATGTGTCTTCTGAAGACGACTGCACGCGGCGCTGAAGCGAGAACCCCGTTTTGAAAGCCACCCCGACCCCCCACCCGACGTCCGTCCTCACAACTGTTGCAAGCCTGTATGACGAGTGCGCGCGGCGCCAAGACAAGAGAGCCGAGTTTTGAAGAAAAGGAGCCACCCTCAATCCTTCAAGCTGTTCTTTCTGTTTGAGGGCACGTGTGCACCCGCAGCACTGCTCAGCAGCGTGCTGTGTACCAAACCTCGCAGGGTGGGCCGTTTCCCAAATCCGTGTTTCGGTGCGGATCGTCAGCGCGCCTCGTCTCCGTCGTCGTCGTCGGCATCGGCGTGGCCGTGTTGCACGTTGCTCTGCTCGGGATTTGTTTCCCTTATGCAGTGATCACCACCACCCCGTCACTCCTCCTCCCCTCCCCCTCCTCACTCCGGCCCCACCGCTGAGCCCCGCAGGCCCTCCAAGCGGTCGCGGGCGACGCGCCGGAGGAGCCCGCAGGCCCTCAGCGGCGGCCCTCCGCAACACATCGGCGGCATTCCCCTGACGTCCTCGCGTCGCGAAAAGATCACGCGACGGAAGGTTTGTGCCAATGTTCGGCCTCCGTGGGCCCTGCTCTGGCCCCAGGGCCGTCACAAAACGACGCGGGATGAAAGGCCTGTCCAGGGAAGTGGTGCAGACGTATTGGGGTCCGCGTTGTTGACAGATCGCAGCGTCGGGTGTCTTGGTGGGCGGCCTTCGCGCGGCCCTCTGGTGGCCTTTTGGTCGTCTTTGGCGGGCGCACGGCGCGGAGGAGGGCAATGAGGAGGAGTGGGGGAGAGAAGAGACGGAGGGAGAGGGGGGAGAGGGCCCCTCCTCGCCGTCACCCCTCCTATCACTCCAACCGCCCCCCTCCCACCTATCCCCCCGACCCCCCTCCCAGCTTTCCCCTCCCGCTTCCCTTCCCCCTTGTTTTTCGCCTCGTTTCGGCTACTCAGCGGGGTGACGGGGGGGGCACACTCCTACCTGCCAGGTATGACACGCAATTGTTCGTGCTGATTTGGGAGAACACTCCGCAGAGTGTTCCGGGACACCGACATGCTGCCGACGAGGAGAAGTAGTCAGACCAGGCGTGGCAAGTCCGTGGCACTGCCGCTTTGCTGGATCACGTCAAGACAACGTTTGATGACTTGCCGATGTGGAAGAAAAGGGGGGGCTGCTACGACCAATCGTATTAGTATTGTGTTTCTACTTTCCCCTTCTCATCCTCCTCATCCTCCTCCTTCTCCTCCTTTCCTCCTCCTCCTCCTCCTCCTCCTGCTGCTCCTCCTCCTCCTCCTCCTCCTCCTCCTCCTCCTCCTCCTCCTCCTCCTCCTCCTCCTCCTCCTCCTCCTCCTCCTCCCCCTCCTCCTCCTGGTCCTGATGAAGATGAAGCCATTCCAGGGCCTCTTAAGGACCGCCCGAGGTCGTTCCAGAGTGCCCTGGGCCGGCCGCTGCGCCCGATCTGCTCCCATGGGCCCACTCTGCAGCTTTCCCGCCGCCGTCTCGCGCCCCCCACCCCCGCCCCATCCACCCCCTTGGCGGCGCCGCCCCTCGAACGCCGCACTGGTCTGGACCTGGACCTCCGCGGATCTGATTGTTCAGCCCGCGGCCCCGGGGATCCCGACCCCTTCCCTGGGGCCAACTCTTCGCCCACGGCCCCTTGTCCAGGTCCCCACCCAGGGCCCGAGCGACGGTCCCCAGGGGCCGAGATTCGAGAAGAACGCCGGGCATAAAAATTATAGCTGGAGTGCAGGATCCCCAAACAGGATTTTTATGTTCATTGTGGCTTCCAAAGTCGATTGCGTGCCCGTCCAGTGTGGGCTGGCATGACAAGTTTAAACACGAGAGCATGATGTTTACACATTGGGGCCCAGAGTTGCGAGGATGTCTCAGGCGAAACGGGCCAGACCACCTCGCAAGCGTCATCTCGGAGCCCGGAGTTTCAAGGATGTCTCAGGCGAAACGGGCTGGACCACCTCGCGAGCGGCATCTTGAGGCTCAGAGTTGCGAGGATCTCTCAGTCGAAACGGGCCGGACCACCTCTTGCGCTGCACCTCGGAGCCCAGAGTTGCGAGGATGTCTCAAGCGAAACGGGCCGGACCACCTCTTGCGCTGCACCTCGGGGCTCAGAGTTGCGAGGATGTCTCAGGCGAAACGGGCCAGACCACCTCGCAAGCGGCATCTCGAGGCTCAGAGTTGCGAGGATCTCTCAGGCGAAACGGGCCGGACCACCTCTTGCGCTGCACCTCGGAGCCCAGAGTTGCGAGGATGTCTCAAGCGAAACGGGCCGCACCACCTCTTGCGCTGCACCTCGGAGCCCAGAGTTGCGAGGATATCTCAGGCGAAACGGGCCAGACCACCTCGCGAGCGGCATCTCGAGGCTCAGAGTTGCGAGGATGTCTCAGGCGAAACGGGCCGGACCACCTCTTGCGCTGCACCTCGGAGCCAAGAGTTGCGAGGATGTCTCAAGCGAAACGGGCCGGACCACCTCTTGCGCTGCACCTCGGGGCTCAGAGTTGCGAGGATGTCTCAGGCGAAACGGGCCAGACCACCTCGCAAGCGGCATCTCGAG